CAGCAATTTAAGGGTGCATCTATACTGTAGAATTAATGCAGTTTGACACACTGGCAATGAAGAACCACATAGTTAAAGCAATGACATTCCCTGTAGTAACCTGTGGATGTGAGAGCTGGAGCATAAGGAAGTCTGAGCGAAGGAAGATAGATGCTTCTGAACTGTGGTGCTGGAGAAATGTTCTGAGAGTCCCTTGGACCATGGAAAGATCAAACCAGTCCATACTCCAGGAAATAATGCCCGACTACTCACTGGAGGGAAGGGTATTAGAAGCAAAGATGAAGTACTTTGGCCACATAATGAGAAGACAGGAAAGCTTGGAGAAGAGAAAAATACTGGGGGAAATTGAAGGAAAAAGGAAGAGAGGTCGACCAAGGGCAAGATGGATGGATGGCATTCTTGAAGTGACTGGAATGACCTTGAAAGATCTGGGGGTGGTGACGGCCAACAGGAAGCTCTGGTGTGGGCTGGTCCATGAGGTCATGAAGAGTTTGAAGCAAATAAACAACACCACTTTAATTGCCGTGTCAATGCTGTGGAATTATGGGAGTTTTAGTTTTACAAAGTTTTTAGCCTTCTCTGCCAAAGCATGCTGCTGCCTCATGAACTACAACTCTGATTCCATAAGAATGAGTCATGGCAGTTAAAGTTGTTTCAAACTGCATTCATAGAATCATAGTTGGAAAAGACCTCATGGGCCATCCAGTCCAACCCCCTGACTAGAATCAGGAATATTTCATTCAAAGCACCCCTGACAGATGGCCATCCAGCCTCTGTTTAAAAGCTTCCAAAGAAGGAGCCTCCACCACACTCTGGAGCAGAGCGTTCCACTGCCGAATGGCTCTCACAGTCAGGAAGTTCTTCCTAATGTTCAGATGGAATCTCCTTTCTTGTAGTTTGAAGCCATTGTTCTGTGTCCTAGTCTCCAGGGAAGCAGAAAACAAGCTTGCTCCCTCCTCCCTGTGACTTCCTCTCACATATTTATACATGGCTATCTTATCTCCTCTCAGCCTTCTCTTCTTCAGGCTAAACATGCCCAGCTCTTTAAGCCACTCTTCATAGGGCTTGTGCCATGCTATTCATTCTACAGTGTAAATGCACCCTTAATTCACTTTTCCAGCCATTTGGCAAATAAGTAACATCAAAGCCAATGGTGTCCAAGAGATCATTTAGCAAGATCCAATCTATCTCAATATTTTCCTAGGGCCATCAGCTGCAAACCCATTTGGTTGCACTGGCTCAGATGAGTGTAGATGTTATGGCTTATTGGGCCACAGCCTGTGCCAATGCATCACACAAGCTATTTATGGTGGGTCATTTGGAGATAGTCTCATACTGTGTCACAGTCAGCTCTGGTTGATGGCATTCTGATGCCATGCTTTGCATGTGTGTCTCTAAGGAGACATCAATGCATTACAGTGATACTTTGTCATTTATTCCAGTGTGGCTTCAAAGTGGTCATGATGGAGCATGACTGAATTCAGCTCACTGTTTTAAAAACTAAAAGCGTGCATTCATTTCACTGTTGAAAAGAATAAGAGAGGAGCCCATTGCTGATCTGTAGAGGAGTGAAAGGCTAGTTCTCACAACTGGTCATCTTGTAAGCCCTTTGCCTTCCCCTGCCCCTTTCCTATGTGAGGGTAGAATTCTTCTCCAACCATCTCCCACCTCTCTGGGTGCATCTCCACTGTTGAATTAATGCATTTTGACAGTGCTTTAAGTGTCACAGTGCCATTCTATGGAATCCTGGGAGTTGCAATTTGGTGAGGCACCATAACTCTCTGGTGGAGAGGAGTGAAGGCCTTGTGAAACCATGACTCCCATCACATTGAACCATGGCAGTTGAAGGGCTACCAGAGCTGGGTCAAAACTAACAAAATGAATTTCAATAAGGAGAAATATATGGCACTAGATTTTAGCAATAAAAAATGAAAAGCACAGATGTAGGATGGGTGGTGCCTGGCTTGAAAACCATCCATGTGAAAAGGATCTAGGTGTCTTGATAGACCACAAGTTGAACATGAGTCAACAGTTTGGTGAGGCAGCTAAATAAAGCTAATGTGATTCTGGGCTGCATCAACAGGACTATAGAGTAAAGACCAAGGGGAGTCATAGTCCCATTACTCTGTTTTGATCAGATCTCATCTGGAACATTGTGTCCAGTTCTGGGCACAATTCAAGAAGGATTTTGACAAGCTGGACACCCAGAGAAGGGTGACCAAGATGATCAAAGATTTGCAAACCAAGACCAGTGGGGAATTAGGTAGGGAGCTGTATGTTTAGCTTGGAAAAAAGAAGGCTGAGTGGGGACTTAGGCCCCATCTACACTGCCATATAAAATCCAGATTATCTGCTTTGAATTGGATTACATGAGGCAGGGCATGCTGTTGCTGGGGAAACATTAAGAGGAGTGGTGGTTCTCATGAAACTTTCCCTTGATTTGAGTCTATAAATGATCAGCCACAGCCACCATTCACAAAGAGCTTTATACATGCTGATGATCTTGGCCTAACCACACAAAGAAAAGACATTGAAACAGTCAAAAGTCAACTTACTAATGCCTTGAAAGATCTATCCAGATAATCACCTGAAGTTTAACTCTGCCAAGACACAAGTGTGTGCTTTCCATCTATGGAACCGTGAAGCCTACAGGAAATTGAAAGTTACCTGGGAAGGCCAAGTGCTCGAACACTGTTTCCATCCTAAATATCTTGGGGTCACTTAGATCGAACACTAACATTTAGGAAACATTGCATGGACACAAAGTAGCTACATGCAATAACATCCTGCGGAAACTTACTGGCAGCACATGGGATGCAGACCCAAAATTAATAAGAACATCAGCCCTGGCCTTGTCTTACTCAACTGCTGAGTATGCCTCTCTTGTTTGGCACAAGTCTGCCCACGTGAAGCGGGTGAACATAGCACTGAACAAAACATGCAGAATAATCACAGGATGCTTTAAACTTACACCTGTTGATAAACTCTACGAGCTAGCTGGCATTGCCCCCCCCCCCCAAACTGGGAGAGAAATAAGGTTGAACACTGAAAGCCACCAACTACATGGTTATGAGCCTCCTCCTAGTAGACTCAAATCAAGGAAAGGGTTCATGAGAACCACCACTCTTCCAGCAACAGTAAGAGCATCCTTCTGTGCAGATAAACCAGGAAATCCCAATTGGATGGCGCCCTTATGAGGGTCTTCCTCCAGGGGCAAACCAAGAATGGTCAACTTAGAAGTCCCTGAACAGACTCAGAAGTGGAGTTGGCAGATCAAAAGACAACCTGGCAAAATGGCACTACCTAGAAGAATCCTCCACCTTGTGCAACTGTGAAGCCAACAGGAAATTGAAAGTTACCTGGGAAGGCCAAGAGCTTGAACACTGTTCCCATCTTGGTGTCCCAACACTAACATTTGGGAAACACTGTATAAACACCAAGCACAAAATAGCTTATCTGTTTTAAACTGGATTATATAGTGGCATAGACTAAGATAATCCAGTTCAAAGCAGAGAATGTGGATTATCTGCTTTGATAGGGCACTGTAGAAGGGGCCAGCGTCCTCTCCCAACCACCCAGGTTTTCAGTTGGCACCTCCGCCTGTTTTCCAAGCACATTCCGCTGGAAAGGGAGTGGCAGCAGGCACATCATAATAATACCAGATACCTGAGCGTTCAGGGCATGGAGGTGAGGTGCACTCTCTAAAAGAGCATGCCAGGACTGGACTTTTTGCAGCAGCTCCTTGCCTTTGGGCAGCAGCAGGCAAAGGAGGAGGGAGGCGAAGGCAGCTGGCAGGAAGGCACTCCCACCACCAGCGCCTGAGGAAGGGAGGTGGGGGGGAGCAGAAGGGGTGTGTGCGCTTGCCTTGCGCGTGGAAGGAAAGCAGCTGTGGCCAAGGGAAAGGCCTGGGTACTCGGTGCCCACGGCCCACCTCTGCGTGGCTATCCCTGTGCCAAGCAGCAGCAGCTTTGGGAAGAGAAGACCTGGCGGAGCGTGGCATACGGTAGGGCGCGCTCCCCGAGGAGCTTCCCGTTGCTCTTGGTAACGCCGGGTGGCTCCGCGTGGCAAAGGGAGAGGCGCGGAGGGGGCCGGTGCGTGTCCGTGGGTCCCAGCCTGGGCACGCAGGGGGAGAAGCCGGGCACCCACTCTCCCCCTTGGAGTCATCGGGGTGGGCAGCACACCTGGATGGGTCTGCGAAAGGAAACCAAAGGCTGAGGGCCCTTCTGCACAGTCCCAGATACCAGAATCTCAAGGCTGAAAATCCCACCTTATCGGAGTGTGGACTCAGATAACCCAGTTCAAAGCAGATATTGTGGGATTTTTTGCCTTGATCTTCTGGGTTATAGGGCTGTGTGGAAGGGCCCTGGGTTATCTGAGTCCACGCTGCCATATATCCCAGTTCAAAGTAGATAATGTGGGTTTTTTATTCAGGAATGCCTGAGTGGGAAAGATTCCTTTCGGACTGCTGCTCTCCCGCGGTTCAGGTGCTCATGTCTTCCTCTGGGAAGGGGGTCTTCCCTCTCTTTGCGTCTTAAGGGAACGCGCATTCCGTTGGCATGCCTCGAGGGGGGGAGTCTCCCAGTCCCACCTGTCTCCCCTTCTGCGTGGGTTTCCCCACAGCCCTCTTTCCCCTTTCAGAGCATTGTAGTCCCTCTTTTATTGGGTTTCGAAGTGGGAGCGAGAAGAGGCCCTTCCGCTCCTTCCCTGCTGCCTGTTACCATCGGAAACGAACCCATGTGTCTTGACTCTGTGGGCGGCGGGTGTGTTGGATGGGGAAGCGGTCCAGTCCACATCTCCCCCAAAACGTATCGAGATCAAGGGAAGTCCTCGTCCCCCAGGCTGTAGCCCTGCTTTGATCAGATCTCATCTGGAAGAGACCCTGTGTGGCAAGGCGTAGGTGAGCAACGGAGCAGCCCCCTTTCTCCGCCCATTGAAACCGGCGGGGGAGACCCGTTCCTTGCCCACGCGTGTTTTCCAGGGGGAATCCTCCCCTCTGGCTGTGGTGGGGCGAACGCGCTTCAGCGGCAACGTGCGTGTGTCAATGTGTGTAAATCTGTGTGCGCGGAGCTGGAGAGAGATTGGGGAGGTTCGGGGGCTCGTTGCCATGGCTCCCTCGAAGCTCCGCCGAAGGAGATATTGATGCCAGTCACGAAGGGACCCTTCTTCTTCTCCTTCCTTTTCTCCTCCTCCTCCTCCTCCTCCCTTTCACCCTCCTCTTTCTTCCTTCCTTCCTTCCTCCTCCTCCTCTTCTCCTCCGTTTGGGGAGGTGGGACGGGTCTCCCTCCGGCTGCCACTCGCCAAAGTCCTGCCTCTTCCACGGGCAGAGCCTCCTCTCGCCTCCACTCCCCGCGGGCAGGCAGGCAGGCGGCAGAGCCACGGCGGGCGCACACACCTCCGGCCCCGAAGCGCTCCCAGCAACAGCCCCCTCCCTGGAGACCCAGAGGTAAGAGGCCAGGTCCAGGGAGGGAGGGAGGGAGGGAGGAGGGAGCCGGGAGCCTCCCTCTGGCTTCCTCACCTGGAGGGGAAACCAGTTGCACCTTGGTTGGCAATGATGGCATCAGTGACAGATGAGGGGTGGCTCGAATGGGACCCGGGGGGTGGGGGGTTGCCAGAGAGGGAAGGAAGGACTGACAGATCTCTCGCCCCCGAAATTGGGGTGTGAGGGGAAAAGAGAGGTGTATGTATATGGCAGAAGGCGAGACTCCCCTGTGGATCACCTGCCGCTCTGGATTGAAACCGCCGCCACTCCCCTCTTCTTCCCAGAGCCTCTCTTCTCTCTTTCTCTCTCTCTCTCTCTCTCCCCCCCCCCCTTCCTCTTGGCCAGTGATTCTTTCACACTGTGCGAGTCGGAGCCAGCTACAAATGACCAAGTGTTTGGCTGGCCTCTCCAAAGTAATGAGGGAACTCGCGTATTGTGTGCTCTCAGCCTTGCAAGGGAATTTTGCTGGGGAATTTCTCTCTCCCTCCCGCCTTCCCCCTTTCTTTCCCTCCCTCTCCTCATGTCCCTTCCCTCTCCCTCCCCTTTCTCTGCCTCCCTCCCTCTCTCCTCTGCCTCTCTCCCTCTCTCTTTCCCCTTTCGTTTTCCGTATCTCTCCTTCCCGCCTCCTTCTTCCCTTTCTCTGTCTTTCCTCTCCTCCTCTTTTGTCTCTCTCCCTCCCTCCCTCTTCCTCCCTTCCTTCTCCCTCCTCTTCTTTCCTTCCTTCTTCCCTCCTCTCCTCTTCTCTCCCTCTTTCCTTCCCCCTCCCTCTCTTTTCTTCTCTCTCTCCCTTTCCCTCCCTCCCTCTCTCTTTCCCTTCTTCCTCCCCCTGTCTCCCTCTCTCTTTCCCCCTTCTCTCCTCTCCTCCCTTCCCCCCTCTCTATTTCTCTCTCTCTCCCTTTCCCTCCCTCCCTCTCTCTTTCTCTCTTCTTTCCTCCTTCTGTCCCCCCTCTCTCCTCCCTTCTCTCCCTCCCTCCCGCTCTCTTTCCTCCATTCATTCCCCCCCCTCTATCTCAACGCCCCCCTCTCCTTTTCCCCCTCTCTATCTCTCTCTCCCTTTCCCTCCCTCTCCTTTTCCCCTTCTTCCCTCCCTCTCTCTTCTCTTCCTCCCCTCCTCTCCTCCCCTTCTTTCCCCCTCTCTCTCCCTCTCCCTCTCCTTTCCTCTTTTCTCTCTCTCCCTTTCCCTCCCTCTCTCTTTCCCCTTCATCCCCTCCCTCTCTATCTCTCCTTCCTCCCTCTCCTTCCCTCTCTTCTCTCTCTCTACCTTTCCCTTCCCTCTCTCTTTCCCTTTCTTTGCCTCTCCTTCTGCTCTTCCCTCCCTCTCCCTCCTTCTCTCCTCCTTTTTTCTCTGTCTCCCTCCCTCTCTCTTTCCCCCTTTCATTCCCTCCCTCTCTGTCTCCCCCTCTCCCTCCCCCCTCTCTTTTTCCCCTCTCTCTTTCTCTTCCCCTCCCTCCCCCCTCTCTCTTTCTCTGCCTCTCTGCCTCTCTTTCTTTCTCAGGGATAAAGAAATGCTCCAAGAGAGAGATGGAAATGCTTTTTGATTCTACTCATCAGAGTTGGGGGGAGTGGGTGGGTATTTCCAATTTTGGTAGATTTCCCTTTCTGTCTCCTGTTTTAAAACCCACGAAGAGGTCTGGGGGTCCTTTTTTCTATCAGTCAGTTACATGGCCTCAGGAGTATTGTAGAGAATGAATTACTGTGTAATTGTCTGGATTGAGTGGATACAGGGCTTTGAAAAGATGAGACCTTTCTACATTGCTGAGATGGACAGAAAGCTCTTTGTATTTCCTCCTGTTGTCTACAAGTGCAAGTCTGTGATGGAGAAATCGAGGATGGTTGCAGCTCAGTTTGGCTTTGGCTCAGCAGACCTAGTTCCTCAGGACTCATTTGCTTGGGCAGAGATTGATTTTGTTTTGTAGTGGGACTGAATGGCAGGTTTTGTAAATATGTGCGCAAGCTATTGTATAATTTTTCTCAAGAAATGTCCACTTGTTTAAACATTTACGTTTTGCAACAAGAGCAACCTGGATGTAAAAATGTTGTGTCCCCTGTGCCAAAAGGTGAGCCATAGTAAATTCCTTTAGCATGGGACACAGCCTTTGACCATAGTGTTCAGCCTCTCCTGCCAAGCTACTTCTCTCCTCCTGTTTTATTTCTTATAGAAGTTACTGAAATCTGACAGGGAAAAAAGAACTGGAGTGGGCATTATCTCAGCAAGGGGGAGGGACAAAGACAAGAATCAACCTTGCACCTTTACATACTTTAGGCCTCCTTCCATAATATTTGAGAACAACTGAAAATGAGTTTGACTGATGTCATTTCTTTTTGTAAGACACCTTAAACTCCAAAGATTTGGTTTTCCTTGACATAAAATGGTCAAAATATCATTAAACTTTGATGGTCTGAATATTTCCTAGATAAATCCATGGAAATCCATGTGAAACATAGCTATCTAGCTTAACTCTCATTTATTTAGAGGAGAATGCAAGTCCCTCTTCCCATTTGGACCTAACTCATCCAAAATAGAAACAGGCCAAGGAATCTTTAATAATGACTTTACAATCATTCCTCTACATCTGCCGGTTTAACTTTTGCAATTTTGATTATCTATAGATTGGATTAAAATGGTCCCTCTAGAAATCTCCAGGTCTTCTATTTTGATTGTATAGTCAACTTCCTCTAGTCATGCTGGAGAACGTAGAGATTTCTAGAGAGTACACCTCTCTAGGAATCTCTCCATCCTTCAATGCAATTATCTACCCAGCTTCCAGTGGAAGTTGGTCATTGAGTCATGCTAGAAGATCTGGAAGTTCCTAGAGAGGTGTTATCTCAAAGAAAAACTAAAGCACTTTATTTACAGTTTTCCACTTTTATTTATTTATTTATTTATTTATTTATATTCATTTGCTTTATTTATACCCCGGCTTTCTCACATCAGTAGGGGGACTCAAGGCGGCTTACAACTCTGACAAGATTCAATGTCATAGAATCATAGAGTTGGAAGAGACCTCATGGCCATCCAGTCCAACCCACTTAAAACGCCATCATAAAACATAACCCATTGACTAAAAACAATTTTAAAAGTTAAGCAAATAAAACACATAGAATAGTAACAGATTAAAACATATAAAGTACATGATTCCATTAATCCATAAACCTTGCTCATAATCCTTATTCAGACTGTATCAAAATCTGTGATAACTTATTTTTCAAATGCTTATATACAGAGCCAGGTGTTTAACTTTTTTTCTGAAAACTAGAAGAGATGGGGACTGCCCAGTGTCACAGGGGAGGGAGTTCCACAGCCGGGGGGAACACCACTGAGAAGGCCTGTCTCTCATCCCCACCAATAATGCTCATGAAGAGGGTGGGACTGAGAGCATGGCCTCCCCGGCTGAGCTTAAAGCTCTTGTTGGCTCATAGGAGGATATGCATTCAGACATTTAAGTTGGACCAGAACCATTTAGGGCTTTATAGGCCAAGATCAGCATGTTGAATTGGGCTCAGCAGCAAACTGGCAGTCAGTGGAGCTGACGTAACAGAGGATTAGTACGCTCTCTGTATACTGCTCCAGTTAGGAATCTGGCTGACGCCCATTGGACCAATTGAACCTTCCAAGATATCTTCAAAGACCACCATACATAGAGTGTGTTGTAGTAATCTATATGAGATATAACAAGAACATGATCCTGTTCATGGTTCATGAGCATGGTTCATGAGAGTCCTGTGCTCGTAACCCTAGCAAATGTGGACATTGACTACGCTTGGTAAAGGTAAAATGAGTGAATTCTAAAGACAACACTTAATCAATGCATAGATCAAAAGTTTTATCCCCTTGAAGAGTCAAAGATGTTTATAAAGTGAAATGAAGCTTTATAGAGGCATTCTCTCAAACACATGTGGTTCCAAAAGTACGAAAGGGAGGGTGGGGGGGGGGGCAAAACATAGATGCTGCTTCTTTGTGCATGCCAGTCCAATCCCCTGCCTGCTTCAGCCTCACCCCATAGTGTCCCCCAGCCTGTCACTCTGAGCAGTAAATTCTGAAATTGAAGAGCCTGAAGGGACTCTGATCGTGAAGACTCTGATCGTGAAGTATCTATGCACAGTGCAAGAATGCTAAGATTGAAGATGAAAGGGGTGAGTTTATACCCCTTATGAGTTTAGTGATTCTATAAGTAAATTTTGAATGTGAAAGTAATTGTCTGCAATATAGCAATTCAGGGGTATTGGAAATTGGACTTTAATTCTCTTGATTCCTTACATTTGACTACACTGACTGGGCTTGGTGAGAGTTGGAATTCCACAATTTTCTACAGCTCCTAGAAATCAAAGCCAGATACTACTTACATCAGAGCTTGGAAAAGCATGGCCATTGACAGTGAAAGTATGGTGGTGGTAGTGGTGGTAATAAGCTGTAGTCCAAAATGAGTTTTACAAATCATGTTAAATGGTCACGTGTTTTGCAACCGTGTTTGTGAGTCTTCAAGTAACCTGTCAACTTATGGCAAACTCATGAATTTCATATGGTTTTCTTAGGCAAGGAATATCCAGAAGTAAGTTGCAAGTTCCTTCCTCTGAATTATAGCCAATAGCATCTTGTCTAAGTTTCATTTGCAGTTTCTAAAATCAGACAGGATCTGGTGCCTTTATAGTATTTAGGTGCTATATATCTGTACAAACACACACAAATGCATAGCATCTTATGAAGAATTTCATTGTGTTTTTAATATGTTTTAAAGCAATGCTTAATTTGGCTTTTAAAAAAGAATTTTCTTTTGATTTTTTAAAAGTTTTGTGTTAATGTTAGTTGTATCTCATTTTAAATGGTTTTAAGCCATTTGAATCTTTGCTGGGAGAAAGCAGAATATAAATGAAATAAATATATAAGGCAGTATATACTTTGGACAAACTTTGAGAAGTTCAGCATGCACACATACACGCTCACATGGACATGCAAGTGCATGTAT